CACAGAAATCCCAACATAAACCCCCATTAACATTCTATAAAAAACACAGCCAGGAAATAAGAGATAAGATAAATCAGCCTAGTGCCATGGAAGCAAAGATGCAGGTTGCTGTGCTAGATGACTCTGGCAGGCTGTGCCACATCCAGCTTCGTCACTACATTCAGTGCTTTACTTGCTGCCATGACCTGACTCCTCAGCCTCCCCTTGAGAAAACAGCGACCGCCACTGTGAGGCTTTCATCCTCCTAAACCTTCCAGTGATTCTCCTCAGCTTGATCTAGAGCAACTAGGAAAACCTCGGAGCCAGTAGGGATCCACTCGTTTTCCTCCCTTGTTCATGAACGCCCAGAGACATCACAGCTGACTCAGGGAGATGATGTGGACTCCGCTGTTTCTAGAAGAGACCAATGTAGCAACAAACGCTTCATGCTCTAAGTTCGCCTTTTAATTATTTCCCTTTCTAGATATTTATTAGGTTAGAGCAGGTGCAAAATGTTCTTTACAAATGGAATAGCAATAACAATATACTCACACACGGAGGGACTGAAAACCTCCACATGCTCCTGGGTCCAACACTCTAGAATAGTTATCATGAGTAGAGCACCCTGTGCCCATCACAGCAAGCACCTGCCTTCTGTTTGCCTGGGTACTCTGTGAGGATAGGAGTTGTGCTTCCCGGACCCAGGAAGTAGGTGCTAGACCATTTTAGGCCTGCACGTGAACCTGAATTACAATGAGCTGGTACAGATGAAGCATTTCAAACACAGGCCTCCTGACTTAGCACAAGGAATTCCTTTTTGTTTTTACTTCATCCCAATAAAAAAAAAAAAAATTCAAGTAAATATTCATGTCAGATCCTGGGCTTCCCCCTAGAAGCTTTCCTCACACCATAGCAGGATATTCATCCATCCCTATCCAGGACCTACTGCAAGTTCCCTGAGCCAAAAGCATGCCTTTACTGTTTAATTTGGTAATCCCCAAGGTTGGAAGCATGCCTAGCATTTAACTGGTGCTCAAATGTGTGGACTGACTGATGTGTCCAATGTCATCTTCTCTGCTCCTTTAACTGGAGTCACCAAAGGGAAAAGAACAAACCACAGGTGAACCAAGGGCAAGGTTAAGACAAGGGGGAATGATAAAGCTAACCTAACTTTGTCAGCCTTAAAAAATATCTAGAAACATTTATCTGGTTTGCTCATATGACAAAATTTATCAGTAGTAGTAGAACCAAGATACAAACTTAAGTCTCTACTGAATGACGATGAGGCCAGGACTGCAGTAGGCATAGGCAAAATAGGGAATCCACCTCGGGTCGGTGGGAACACCCTACTTACAGACACCTTCACTTTCCCAAATGACCAACACCTTTTACTTCATCATCAGACAAGACTTAAAGTGCAGAATCTATTGTGAAGTTATGGGTTATTTTTATTTTCTTCTTTGTGCTTTCTGATCTCCCATAACCAAAAGGCATGCCTTAGTAATGAGGAAAACATTCAAGTACCCTGGAAGATTGATTCTAAGTGGCATCATCACCATTGCTGCAGCTGAGTACTACAGAGTGAGCACTGTGCTCAGGACCTCACTAGTACGAGCCAGTGTAATCCTCACAACACCCTGGGGCTAGGACGTGTGGTCTCCATTGCACAGCTGAGGGAACTGCCTACAATTCCAAAGTCACACAACCAGCCAGGACGCAAAACCAAGAGTATGAAACCAGAACCAGCACTCCTTTTCTCTACACACTACTGCTTCATGCAAGGTGTGCAAGAGCTCAAGGTTCTTATGAGCAGGGTGAGAACTGCTCACTCAAGATATGCACCGTGGCAATAGGCAAAGTAGAGAGGCTTAAAGAGGCAACCAGAGAATACTGAAGGCACATTTGCCTCAAACTTCCTTTTAGCTTCCTAAAGGACTTAGAGAGTTACGAATTTTCAGCTGTGGGTACACTTCCTCCCCAGAAAGATAAATACTGATGCATACTTAGATGGGCATAGAGAAAAATGGACACAGAACTTACTTACTTCAGTTCCAGAAGACACACAGACAATAGTGGGTCTTTTCAACCTCCATTTCCCAGCAGCTTAACCGCAATGTCAAAGACTCTTCATTCAACTTCATTTCATAGACCTTTGAGTCCTACATGTCTATTATGCAAAAGTAACTTCAAGACACTACTGCAAATGTATTAAAACACTAAGGAACTGTTGGTGCAAAAAATGAAATGAAAATGGCCCATAATTTTACCATCCTCTATTATATTCACTTATACTTTCTTACATTATTTTGAGCATATGCAAAAATTTTACAATACCTGCACAGCAGGTAGGCCACCTTGTATTCTGTTTTTTCACTTAATACATTTTAAAGAGCTACCCACACATTTACATGATCTCTAATAAGGCTTTTCTTTTTCATTTATGATAGAATGCATGCATGGGTGACAGAGAAATAGAGAGATCAGAAGGCACTGAAAAGCCTCTGCTGGCAGAGTGATAGGAGCACGAAAGACCAAGGATTCCTGGCCCAGCAAAGACAGAAGGTGAAGCCAGCAAGCTCCAAGTGATGGATCCTCAATACTGGCAGCTCCTCTACAGAACTCCAAACTAGTTTTGTACTAAAACTAGTGACTAATATTCTCCTTTCTTCTTTTTAGCTTTTTTCATTTTTGTTTTTTAAGTTTTTTGCTATAAGCACAAAGACAGAGAGGAAAAGTGAGAAACTACTCCCCAGAGGCCACACTGCAATTCCTTCTCCTCCATGCTCTTTTTGGGATTTGGGGCATATATGCATGCATGCCCAGCGTGATTTTCAAGCCACCAGGTCCAGGACGCAAAGCAAAAAGTTGGCCATGTGAAATCCAGCACCTTAAGCTTCATGCCACCTGGTGGCCCTAATATCCTCCCTTCTTTACAGAAACTTTTTCCAGCAATGAGCATCAAGGAATAAAACAATACAGCTACCTGTTTTGCTACAAAACTGAGCCAACTCAATTTAATTAGCAGAACTCCCTGGTAGAGCTCTTCCACACAGACCCCAAATAATAGAAAGGCATTAAGAGCAGAAACTCTTCAGGCTGCACGAGGAACATAAATAACATGCAGTTATACACATTAAACCTACAACTTGGGACAAGCAGTTAGCGTAATGGCTATGTTGCTGGACTCCCATGTACTCAAATGCAGTTCGAGTCTTGGACCCGGTGGCTTAAACTCACGCCAGGCACATGTGCGTACATGCCCAAGATCCTGAGAGGAGAATGGAGGAGAAAGGACTGCAGTGTGGCCATTCTCCTTGGGGAGTGATTTCTCAGTTTCTGTCTCTCTGTCTCTGTGTTTTTCTGGCGAGCACACGCACCCTATAGCAAAAATCTCTCCCCCGCCAAAAAAAAAAACAACTTACAACTTTACATTTCACTTGTGCTGTGGTTGCCTAGAAGAATAAGGAGTAGTTCTAAAAATATGAAGTAAAATATTATTTCATAAAAATAACTCTATGTAGGAGTCTAGACCCCTAACCACCATGCCACCTGCAAGCAGGTTAGGGTTCTAGACTCCCACATAGCTGACCTCAGTTTGAATCCCAGACCTGGCAGCTATCTCGCTTGCTCATGCTCTCTCTCTCTCTCTCTCCTCTCTCTCTCTCTCTCTCTCTCTCTCTCTCTCATAAGCAGATGTGCCCTGCAGCAAATAAATTAATTTTAATTTAAATAAAAAATTAAAAATAATTATCGTAGTTCAAAGAAGTCATTAAAGCCAGCCCTCTAGCCTAGTGGTTAAGAAAGCCAATCCCACATGGCAGACTGTGGTTCAAATACCAGCCCTCACAGCTTGAAAAACATGGCCAGCAGATGTATATGCATGGCCAAAATCCCAACAGATTGGAGAAACAGACAAGAGACTGCAGTGTGACCACAACCTACTGAGAGTGACTATCCCTTTCTCTTACTCTCTTTATCTGTCTCTCTCTGGCAAGTCCACAAACCCTTTCGCAATTAAAAACAGATCAATTTCTTTGTAATATTTGATTTTATACTAATGACACTTGGATTTGATCAACTTTTAAATTCAAAGACCTTCTTAAGGCAACTTTAGAGTGAACAACATTCACCCAGTGTTAAGTTAACCCTTTCAATGATTTTTTTTTCCATACATTTATGGAAGAAATAATGCATGTGGTTAAGAAAGCCCTTAAATTCTACTAAAATTTTCATGTAAACAACTCTGCAAAAAAAGATGCTCAATCCTAAAAAAGAAAATATTTTGCCAAAAAAAATTAAGATTTTTAACATGTCCAGAAAGGAACTATCAGATAAATTTCAAAACCACAACAAAGTACTGATATCACCATATTA